CATATCTGGTAGCAGTGAGAGATATTATCACCAACTGGACATCGCTAATGCCTTTAATACCCAATTTATAGAAGAAGCAAACATACGTGGTTCGCCTGAGTAGTTCACTACAAACAAACAATAAAAAGAAAATTTCAACAAAAGGCCAACTCTTGCTGGCTTTAAAAGTAGCCAAGGTCATTGTATCAAAGGTTCTCATTAGAAACATTGTACCAAAGGTCCCAATTATGTGATGGTGCCCTACCTTTTTTAATCCTTTTAATATTGACAAAACATTTCACTCAAATTCTTAAACTATATACATTCTCAATTTATTACTAAGTACTCCCTCCATGTCTTTATATAAGGTGCTTATGTATTTTCAAGGTTCAAGATTAGTGACCTTTGACAGCTTATTTACAAACAATTGTAGTTTTTCTACAAAAATAATGTAATCAAATTTGTATTTAGAAGTATTTTTCTGTTATCATGATTTTTTTTGTCATGCATAGTGTATCATCCACATAATTCCACAATAAATAGGGCGAGCCCTTGCTTTAGGATATTACAAGAAATTTTACGAATCTCTTGGTCCTTTAACTCTTTAACCTAGCTAGCTAAGTGATGTATATATGTAAAGGTTTACCTGTTTTTAAATATGTTAATGTTCTCCTTGATAGATTCCCAACGCTGTTTCGGTAAACTTACAATCAAAGATGACAACGGCATGTACATGTGCTGACAAGGTGAAGAAGGAGCCCTTTGAACTGTCTCAATGAGATATATTTTCATGTAGAGGACGGAAAATGTCAACAAAATAACGGACACCTAAAAGATCATGGTATAGAGCTTGTGTGTTAGCTTACAGATAGTCGATAATGCTGAGGCAACTACAAATAGTTTGTATTTCAACTTGCAATACCTGAAAAATCCACTTCTCGGGCAGAAACCTTGAAAACATATCCCCCAGAGCATTTGAACCGGAGACAATTCCAGTCAAGATGCCAAACGCAGCCACCCTCTTTGATGGCTCAATCACATCTCCCTATGATAGCAGAAACACTATATGTTCATTGTCACAAAACGATAAATAAATGTACCATAAGAAAAGTTCCACTTTATTATATTAATTATTTTCAAAAATGCCTGAAACAATCACTACTACAAAAAAAAATTGTACAGGCAATTGGTAACCCCTTTGAATAATCATATATATCCAACCGTCTGTAACCTAAGGCTTGTAGAAATCAGTGGATTTCCAAAGGGGAAAAGTGAAAAACCAACTATAAAATCCTGTAATAAAAAAGTAAAAAAAATGAAAAAAAAGGTCTGCGCCTTGGCTGACCCTAATGGCCAATAGCACGGTTGTGCGACACACATTTTTTTGTGCAAAATATGCCCGCGTGAGGTTACTAGGATATTGAAATGCATGACCTTCCCCCTTGGGTGATCCCTTCTTACTATCCAACCATAGAATTGTTACTACGCAGAATAGGATAAGCTTTACTTTTTCAACCTTGTGAAGAAATGGTTGTCACATACTCACATGTAGTCAGAGGTTCCTTATGTGAACCACCTCTGGTTCCATTTCCTCTAACAATGTGTCTTTTTTATCTTTTCTTTTAGTTAACTTGAGTTTGGCGATTCATCCCTTTGTTCAACTCAATTAATTAAAAATATAAAAAATGACAAAATGTTTGGAGGAAGTGGAACAATTTCTAAAGATGGCTCACATAAGGAACTACATATGAAATGTCATTTCCACATGAGGTACCTATATGTGGACCATCTCTGGATTCTGGAATTCATTTCATTTTCAGAGATGGTTTACATAAGGAGAACCTTCCAAAGCTACGAGTGGCTCGTAAATACACAGCCAGGTTGAATGTCCGAAAAAAGTGGTTTATGTAGTAGTGAATGCCAGTGAAGCAGCCTACAATTTTGTTGTGCTCTAATACAAATAAATGAATGATAAACTTTGGAAGCTTACTGTATAAATCTACTACATACCGCTGAATATCACTTCATGTTAGGATGACATGTGGGGTCTTGGGATCTAGGCCTAGATGTCAGCCTAGCATCAATGGAATATTGTGGAACCATGGAGTTATTCTGTGGGATATTATATAATCTTCCAAACTTATTTTTTTTAGAAAAGACGAGACCAAGCTAGGTGGAACTAGAAGGTTTTTCACTTTTAAGAAATAAATAGGAACCAAATTTTGAGTTCAATAAGACTCAAACCTATGCTGGAATGCATGACCGCACATCCCCACACCAACTAGTTGAGCTAGGCCCACTTCTTATAAACTCATTTCAGAATAAAAGTAAATATTTAGTTTGAGCGGTTATTTGTCATGAGAGATGTTGTCAACTAATTTGTTCCATGTAGTCAGCATGATATGAAGAGTTCATTTGTGAAATAACATAGCTAGTGAATGCCCTTGAAAAACATGATGATGCACAACAATGCAGTTTGTTCCCACACAGACAAGAAAATTGCAATAGTTCTCACCGTATATGCAACCGTAAGGAACAATATGGTTCCTTCACCAATCAAGAATGAAAAGGTACAACGGAGAATAAGGTAGACATATACAGCAGTCCTTGAATTATTCCACGCAAGCACAGCTACATGCATAAAAACGCAATTAATAATTAGTATCCAGTGCAAATAGTGTAATATAAAACTGACAATCAAGTATAACAGAAGGATTCAAACATGCAACGAATAGACTAAGTAATACTCAAACCATACAGGTAGTATCTAGCGTGAATGGTATGGTATGGTACTATGGCCTAGTGAGTAAAAATTAAACCCACACATTGAGGGCAGGATACAGGACAAAGACAAAAATACCAAAAGGGATTATGGTGGTGAAGGCAGTGAGGAGGAGGAGAGGCTTCCGGCCATATTCATCGGCTAGCTGGACTATGAAAGGAAATCCTATAATTCTGAAAATCCCTGCTACCTGCATTTGAGCAAAAGATGATCAGACAAGTATTCACTGCCTTAATGAAAATGCCACCATTTAGGGGCACATATCTTATTTTGTGATTAATGGAAATATAGTAAGTTGGATGAACATGTTTTTGCTAAGAATAATGTGAAAGGTTAGGTTTCATGGACACATCAAGGGTAAAGCCACCGAAGCAAAATTGGATTATTTATCCCTTAAATTTTGACGTGGTCAAATGGGATGAATTTCAATAAATCTCATAGAACTCGTAACAAACTTTCCAGAGAGTCAAAGATCATCAACATCGAAGTTAGAAAAAGTTTTGCCTAGCATACAAATGTCCAGTTGCACCCAAAGTCTCTTGTAGGTCTACACCGCCCTTTGTGGCTGGGTGTGACATCACTAATAATGGTGTTTTTTTGGTTTGGTGGTCATAGCTTCAACAAAATGATGGAGTATCTCTTCACTTGGATTGGTGGGCAAGGTGCTCAACAGCACATAGTACTAACTGAACATCGCATGATTTCTACATCTCCACAATTACCTTCTGAAGTTGTGATTTGTGAACTTGAATTTGTCTTGTTGAAACTCCGTGCAAGTGCTTTGTCCTTGTAGAAACGAAAATTAAGGTACATGTTTATACAACACCCAAGGGGCCTCCAACATCTGAGTTTGTAGCCTTCCAATTTGAGATGTGCAGTTCAGATTCGTCTAAATTTTCTGACGGAACGGCCGGAAACCTACGGTGACCATGTCCAGAAAAATGGTGCTGGGCTGCTGGCCCCAGAGCCCGATGCCCAGAAACAGAGGTCCACATCTCAAAAGTCAAAAGAAGAGAAACAGAAACAGAGATCATCCACTACCTTGGACACCAATCGTAGCACAGAAAATGGCAAGAAGAAACCATCCTGGAATTTGGAAATCTACTGCAGCCTACATGACTACTTTGGACATGAGATCGATAATTTGGAATTCGGAAATTTAAGCACATACCGAGGACTCCAAGCCGGTGAGGTAGATGGCCTCCGGGCACGATCTGCCGTCGGCGGCGGTGCAGAGCACAGCGGTGACCTTGTCGACGAGAGCCGGCACGGTCATCGCATCGGCGACCAGGTAGAGCACCAGTCCCACGATCAGGTGCAACACCGGCGGCCTCATCGCCACCTCGCCGCCTCCAAAAGCTCTCATCTCCTTCCACTCCGGCCGGCCGCCCGGCCTCTTCTTGGCTGTTGCCTGTTGGTTGCAATTGCAACTTGCAAGCCGGTAGGCAACCGGCTGTGAGAGCACTTCGTGTCAGGCACCATCATATCAGCTTCACTTTAAAAAGTTTTATAAAAGGAGAGAAAATGATAAGGTGAAGTGAGCTGTGAAAATGATAGGCCAGAAATATCGGATCAAAGAATAGTAGAATACGCATCTCATATCGTCGCGTTGTTTGCGCGCAATCAAATATCGCATCTCCTTATACGGATACTTATTTTGCTTTTTTATTATTTGGGCCCTCTTGGCATGGCTGGCTCTTTTTAGTCCTACTGTGTTCTCCTGTTGCAGTCATGATCGCGTAGTACCTGCGTAGCTTTCAGACTCTGGAAATTATTGAAAACAAAACTCAAGCAGGTAGTTAATATGAGAACAGGGGCAGCACCAAGTGAAGTGTGTGTGTGAGAGAGAGAGAGGTGGAAGAAGGCTCAATTGTGTGTCAAGAAAACTTTCCAAATGGACAAAAAGGCCTCCCTCATGACCCTAATGTCAAGGCCTATGTAAAGTAATACTCCATCTGATTTTAAATATATAATGTTTAGACAAAGAGCATGAATTTGGCCGATCGTCGTCTGCATGTGTCCTACAAGTCATCGGTGCAACGACTGGTAGTTGGCTTTGCACATAACAAGCTCATCAGTGACCAACCTTGCCACGGACAGTGGCAACTCTACTCTGTCATTAGTCATTACAGTACCAATGGTGCTGACGGCAGTAACATAGAGAGAACTACAAAACTAAAGGGACGATACAAATGTCACAAAATTTTTTCTAGTAACCTGCAGAGTATTTTGGTACATTCTAAGTCAGTAGTGGTGCTTGTAGTGCTTCCTCATTACGCTCGTCTGAACTTGGAACTTCTGTGCATTTGTCCCAAGCAAAGCATAAAGACGTTGCCTGCAAAAAAAAAAAAAAAATTAGCATCACAATACATCTCTTAGTTAACATTCTATTTCTATATGTATCCTTCATTGCTACATGGCTACCATATCAAGATAAGGAAAGAGACTAACCAAGACAAAACTAGCCACAAGGAAACTGAAACCTTTGCAATTGAAAGGGGCTTCTTCTGAAATAAGGAAGCTGAAACAGAGGTGCAGGATAGAATGGCTTCAAAATAAGAGGAATCAGTGTACAGGGTCAGGGTCCATGTGCATTATAGGAAATTGCCTAATTGGTACAAGAGAAATGATTGCTCACAGGTTAGTGGGTTCATAAACAGAGGTGCTAGCAATATAGCTACAGATTGTACAGTCGCAATGAAACCTTGTGCCTTCCCCTATGGAAGTAAATAAATAAATTAGACAAAGTTTTCAGGATTGATTTGCAGATAGAACCAAGGAGCTTGTTCGGCTGGCTTTAAGCCGGCCGGCTGGCTTGTTTTTTCTCTCACGAAATCACTGTTCATGTCCTGCCAGAACAGTATTTTTCTCTCACAACAATCAGCCGGAACAGTGTTTTTCAGTCCTGCCAAACAGGCCCAAGACCGGTGGTGTCTATATGTATACCTGGTCAGTTGACATTACTGCCCTCAAAACGATTGCATGGATCTGTATACGTCTCATGATAGTAAATTCATATTTAATCAAATATCACATAGAGTTTGTTTCTAAGGAAAAAAAGCAGTTCGTGGTTAACTGCCTCTTATATAGTAATTGCAAACTATGGAAATTTGATGTTACAGTTATTAGCGGATAGATATATAGGATTGACTTACAGCTGGTCTGGCCATCACAAAGATGACACCCAATAAAGAGCTAAAGTAAGGAACCTGCAATATAGGTACAAGGAAAATGCAGGAAACTATCATAGTTGTACCTACTAAACCCTGATCTGTGTGCATAATTTTGCTTAGAATTGCACTTGCTTGAAGCAAGTGTGTGCTTAAATACATACCCACCAAGCCCATGCAAAACATAAAGCAAAGCCTGAAAAAAAAGATTCCTTACATCAATATACCAAAGTTTGTAAAAATTTAGCTGAGATTAGTGAAAACATATAAAAAATGTCTCGACGCAATAACTCACATAAGCAATGGATGCCAAGATTGAGACGCATATGATTCCTTTTTCACCAATAATGTGGCTCACAACGGGAAGGACCAAAATCTATAATTTCAGTAACATTGTCACAAAATATAATAATAATCAATCTGACACAAACGACAAACACTTGCAAATATATGGATCTTAATTAATTGAAGTGATTGAAGACTTTTAATGTAGCACCTGAGAAAAGATGGAACCAATGTCTACCACCATCAAAATTTCTAAAAATTGATTCTTGTCAAAGCCAAATACATACTTCAAGTAATACTGGCAAAAGTGAGGTAATATAAATGATAAACAATCTTTAGATTTGTCTGTAATTCAAGCCACATAATTTCAAACATCATATCATATAGTACAAGTGATAGAAGTTATTACCAATCGAACATCAATAATTCCACTCATGCCCAATTTATTGAAGAAGTCAACATATACTATTCGCCTAAGTGATTCACTACAAACAAAACAACACAAGAAAATTCATGAAGAATTATATTAGCTATTGTAGCTAACTTCAAAACTTGCTTGTCAGGGGCATCATTGTTTCCATACATGGGAAGTAGAATTGTATTAACTCTCTTTAATCCATGAGGCAATTATACTATTTATTCCTTTAGTACCTTCAACAATGAAGGAAAATGTTTCACGTAAATCCTGACAACAAACCTTCATGATATATCTTTGTACTCATATGAAATTTTATGCATTCTTAATTTATTGGTAAAGACTGCATAAGCAAAATACCCTAAGTTTTAACTAGTGACATTGCGACAATCCTATTTATGTTGACAGAAATGCAAATGCAAATGTGTCAATTCCCTTTCTTCACAAGAAATAGGAAGGATAATTAAATGCTTTAGAATTTACATGAGTCTTTAAATATCCCTTAGTTGACTGATTTCTAGAAGATTACCTATTTTTGAATAGAGTAATGTTTGCTTCGATGGATTCCCAACGCTGTTGTGCAACCCTGGTAACCAAAGATGGCAATGATGAATGCCGATAAGATGAAGATGTTGGAACTCTTGGATGTGTCTCCACAAGATATACTTTCATATAGAGAACCGAACATATCAACAAAACAACGGACACCTGCGAAACCATGTTTTACTACTTGTATTACTAAATAATCAACAATGTTGATGCAACCACATATTATTTCAATTAATAATGATACCTGAAAAATCCAATTCTTGGGTAGGAACCTTGAGAAAACATGCCCCAAAGCACTTGAGGCAGAAATAATTCATGTTATGAAGCCAATTGCAGTTGCTCGCTTTGACAGCTCAACCACATCCGCCTATGATATCAATGTTGTTTCTAATGCTAGTAAATGATAGCTTTGGGGTTCTTATTTACAACTTTGAATAATATAACTAAAAATAAAATAAATAACATCTAAATGAACTATTGAACCATAGGGTAATTCAAGTATTGACTAGTCACACACACTAGATACAACAATGAGCAATCAAAAAAAATTGTTGGTGTTGTTGACCTGTTGTATAAAATCATGTACATGCATGTAGCAAATACATGAGTGAACCGAGCGATAGCATGGTTGGTAAAGCCTCCAATAAAGAGGTGTGGTTAACATGGGCTTGAAGCCAGGTGCTTGCATGTCATTAAAAATCCTCTTCTCGCTCTTCACCTTTCTACTTAGTTTGTGGGACATATTGAGTTGATTCATCTCCACCTCATTTTTCACAAGTTAACAATTAGAGTCATTTTGCCAAATTTAGTTCGTTGGACTCATGGTGCACCACCACCTTATTATCTATAATGGTGTGACTCCTCAACAAACAGCCCCTAAGTAACTATCTTGAGGATTGGATATAATACTCTCTCTTAGATCTAGGTAGGGGCGTCTCTCGCCTTAACCAAGTGGCTTTTAATATTAGTTTAACCAGTGACATGCAACACATTTTGCTACAAAGATGAGAAAATTGCTGTAATTCTAACCGTGTATGCAACTAAAATGATGAACAATGTTCCTTGGCCAATCAAGAATGAAAGAGTGCGCAGAATAAGGAAGACATACACAACAGTCCTTGAATTATTACATGCAAGCACAGCTGCATGCATAAACAAAAAAAAAGTATTTAGTGCAAATGGTGTATGTTGCATAAACAAAAACCGTACCATGTTTAGAGTGAATGGTATGGCCTACACACTGAAGGAGAGATACATAACGAGCAGAAGACAAGATGGTGCAAATTACCAAAAGGTATTATTATGGAGGTGGAGGCAGTTAAGAGGAGAGAAGAGGCTTCCGGCCATATTCATCAGCTAGCTGGCCCATTAGAGGGAATCCTATTATCTTAAAAATCGCCCCTACCTGTTCTCAAACAAAAAATAAGCAGCATGTGTTACTTCTCCCACAAAAATAAGTATTATTATCCTTAAATAAAAAAATTGACAGATATAATAAAAGTTTTTATCCTTCTTTTCTAGAAATTCTATACATGTAATTTGTTATTCTTTTTTTTTTTTGAGAATTGTTATTCACATAAAGAGAAAAAAGGTATTCCTTTCATGGCAAAATATAATAGATTTTCTAGAGGTGGACCCGCTCAGAAACTATTTCTAGAGGCGGATAAAGCCACCCATACAATAGTGTTCAATAAACTCGTGGTTCATGTGTCACACATAGTTGCAAGTACCTTTCCTGTGAGATGAAAAAATTGGGAGGAGCTATTACATGGCTGTTGAAGGTTGCGAAGTGTGTGGTTTTAGACTTAAGGAGACTCTTATGTGTTAGTTGGGGTTGGAAAACCATGCTTTTACCCTGAACTTTTTACTTTATTTCCAATATAATAATGCCGTAATAGAAACTTAATCCTGAAACACCGATGGTAGAGTTTCACCAAATCACTCATAGCATGTACTGTAGTTACTATACATGCTGCCTTGCAAACGAAAACTGCACTATATATGTTGTGTCGTTTCACTAACTTGGATTCTGGCCGGTACCGTACCGCGGTACACGTTATATATATTGCAGTAGGTAGTAAGGTGCAATCGGATCATTTTTTTTTTCCGGCTCGATGAGGGATTCCAGCGCGGATGGCACCGTTGACTTGTGGGCCACCTAGTATAGCACCAACTAGCGGAGCATCGCAGTGGTCCTGTGCTAGTGGCGACTGGCGAGTGGGGAGCATGGGAGGTGACTCTTGAAAAGATCCTCCTCACTCCCCTGCGTGGCTACGTCGTCTCAGCCTTGTGTGACCGAGCGAGAGGAAAGAGAAACTATAGAAGAAGATGAAACAACACTCAACCCTTGTTTAGTTCGCGAAATTTGGATTTTGGAGCTACTATAGCATTTTCGTTTTTATTTGGTAAATAGTGTTCGAACATGGACTAATTAGACTCAAAACGTTCGTCTCGTAATTTCCCACCAAACTGTGCAATTAGTTTTTCTTTTCGTCTACATTTAATGCTCCATACATGGGCCGCAAACATTCGATATGACAGATACTGTAATAACTTTTTGGAATTTGAGGTGTAACTAAACCAGGCGTCATTCATCTCATCTACGGCTTGCAACTGCAGTGCAGGTTGCTGGCGACCATCACACGGCCACGGGCCACGGCCGGAGTGCAGAGGAAGAAACGCCGCAAGCTGGATAGGTCATAGATAGATACCGAGGACTGAAGGCCGGTTAAGTAGATGGCCTCCGGGCATGACCTGCTGTCGGCGGGGCAGAGCGCGGCGGTGATCTTGTCGACGAGCGCCGGCACCGCCGCTTCGTACAGCACCATCCCCACCAGCAGGTGCAGCAGCGGCCTCATCACGACGCTCACCTCTTCTCCGAGAATTCCCATCTTCTTCGTCTGCGCTCCTCTTTGGTTGTTGGCTCCTCTCTCTGCTCTGCTCTCAACTGAAGTAGTGTAAGCTCATTTCAGGCCGTTTCGGTGATTTGCTAACTGCAAAACTTTTGGCTTTATATCAACACAAGCAAGTGGGCAGCAGGGAGCAGGCGTAGGGCCTGTGAAAATGATGGGCTACGGGTAATGCGCCCTCAGCCTGACCCGCATGAATGATTAGTTCTTTTTTTTTCTTTCTTTCAGAAAAATACTTAATCAAGACTCCAAATATAAAATACTCCTAGGGCGGCACAGCATCGGTAGCGTACCCACGGCGTGGTCAAGGGCATCGCCATGTAGCGGTGTGTTCCATGTTGCATCAGGTGTCCTCTAGCCTAGGTGACATATTTGAAACGTCACCCACACGGCCACACCTTATATCGTGAAAAAAAAAGAAACGAAAAAAAAAGTCACCCACTTATATGGGCTTCATTTTCACATATGGTCTTCATCATCAAACAAGGCTTGGGGTCATTATGGGCTTATATGGGCTTCATTTTCACATATCTGACCCAACAATGGGTGGACAAGGCAAAGATCATGTTTTATAAGTGCATAGGTGGGTAATTAGATGTAAATTTAGGTGATAAATTTCTGTGAGAACTTTTAGTATTTATTTTTGTCTACTGTGTTTCGTGGGATTAATGTTAATGGTCTGTTGGTAGAAAGAATACGATTCTAGCATACTCCTAAGTAAAATTATCTTAAATTTAATAAAATTTATAAAAAAACTGACCCAACAATGTTGTAACATTTCTATACAAAAAAAACTTAGTAAAATTTAAGATAGTTTGATTTACACCAAACTCGGTTCCAATTTTTTTTTTGATGCAAAGCTCATTATATTACTCACTCGTCACAGCCGAATCGCTGGACACCAGAGACTCAAGTTCATAAGGTACATCATCCCAAATAGATTGGGCACCACTAGACAATTTGCAACCCAAAGCAGCTAAAGCATGTGCTAAGCGATTACATGACCAAGGAACATCCCTAACACTGAAGCCTGCAAAGTCAGTGACAAGCGATTGCTTGAGATCAGTGATAGATAGATACCTCCCATGGCCGATAAACGGTACTCATCACCCTCCAGCGCCTCCTTCACCATCGCAGCATCAGTCTCCATGATGATCGCCGCAATCCCCATAGCAGCAGCCACTTTCAGTCTGGTCTCGCAACTCAGGAGCTCGGCATGAAACGCATCCTGCAGATGATCCTCCCGGCCAATTCCCGCCTTCAGGACAGCTCCCGCTTCGTCCCTGATCACGAACCCCCAGCCTCCATCGCCACTAGAGCTGAAGAAATTAAAGCTCCATCAGAATTGAGCTTGATTTCTCCCACTTGCTTGTCTGTCGGTTTTCCGACAACAGGCGCCTTGCCAGAGTAACGTTTAGCTTGTCAGTTTGGGCAGCAGTCACATAAGCCACTTCCATTGCAGTCCTCCGTCTACCTTCAATTTTTTGGGATTGAGGTAAACCTGATTTTTTTTTCGGTGCTGCAATGCATGGGCACTCATAGCCTCATAGGCCATAGCGTGGAACAAAGCCGGTGTGTGATTTGGTGTCTTGATCGTGGAAATGTCTCCATGACTAAACGAAGGTACATTACAATGTACTACTACACAACAGAGCGAAGGTCAAACTTATAATCAACCAAAACCATGACAAGGCCAACAACAAACAATGGACACACGATGTTCCAGCGCGGCGGCGTCTTCCGATCAGATCAGAACGAGAATACTCACTCAAAGCGACAGAAACTACGCATTTTGGCTAAAGTTCCCGAACCCTATTTGCGCGCTGCTACTGCTCAAAAAGCCCTGGGCATCCTGGGCGGACAAGGCACCGGAGCTTGCTTCCCTGTCCCTGCCCGGTGGGCAGCCGTGCACCTTACATTGTGAGCAGGACGCTGCCTCGCCTTCCCCGCTGCGGCAATGACCTTGACCTCCTTGACCTTCCTCTTCTCCTTGACTGCGGAGGCCTCCTTGTACCCCTCGTGAAGCCTTATCCTGGCCCTTGCCAGCCTCGCCTCGTCGAAAACCGCGGGGGCCTCTGCTTTGCGCTTGCAAGCGCCCGACGAACCGACGGGCTTCGGCGGTGCAGTCGGCGGCTTAGCGGTCGTCAAGGGTGCAGCCGCAGCGCCAGTCGGCGAGACACGCTTAGCTGCAGCATTTGTACCCAGGTTGCTCGCCGTCGCCGGGCAGTAGGCTTGCTGGTTGGATTTGGAGCCTCCGCCGTTTCGCCTTGCTGCGTTTGACGCCAGCGCGGGCTCCGGGGCCGCCGCCGTACGACGGACAACCATCACGCGGCGATGCTCTGTCTTCCTCGGCGCGTTGGTGTTGATCACCCGTAAGCTCTTCGGCTTCCTGAGGATTGCCGCGCTGTCAAACCCCTCGTGGAGGTGGAGCTTCGCCTCCGGTGCCGCCTCGACGACGACACTTGTCGGGGCTATCGTCTCGAGTTCGCCCTCGGGCCGAGCTAACTGCTTCGTGTTGACCAGCGGCGGCGGTGGCGTCGAGGGACCCTTCTCGATGCCCTTGTCAGCCTTTTGGCTGCTGCGGCGGTGCCCTACTGCTCCTGAACTGCTCGTTGGCCAGAGCCTTCCATCCCTTGTAGAGCGCGGCGGCGAGCTGGCGCGCCTCCTCCGACGGCGCGCTCTTCCTCAGGGCGTTGACGGCGCGGCCGATCTTGGTGGCCTCCAGCGCCTCGAAGGTCATGTGCACGTCCTGCAGCTCGCGAAGCGACTCGACCACCACCGCCTCGCCGCCTTCCTCGCTCGCTAGTTTGCCACCGTCTCGAGTACGGCGTCGTTGTCTCCCTCGAGGCGGACGCTGCACGACGTGCCGGCGCTGGCCATCGCGACGCGCGGTGTGTTTGCGGCGGCGCCAAACCCCAGGTGAGCGATTGGAGTGGCAGGTTGTGCGGCTATGTGGATGGATGTGGGCTGCCCATGTTTATATATGCACGAGCACGAGGGGCGGTTCCTCTTTCCAGTTTCGACTCGGAGTCGAAGTCGGAGATCATTGGCGGCGGCAAGGATCGGTTTGTATGAAAGATCATGTCGATGTCGATCCCAATCTCGGGATATTTGTCAGAAATTGCAAAATTTTAATTTACAAACGAAAAAGCAGGCATGTGTGATTTAAATTAAACAACGTATTCACGTTGGACCGCATGGATTAAAAAAGTTTCATTCTTTCGTGGCCCTGGCCGTGGCCGGCGACACGGCGGCCCAGAGCTCCTCGTCCTGCTCGAGCGCCGCCATGTGCTCCGGCAGCATCACCACCTCCACGTCGAAGCCTCCGTCCCGCCCAGGGTACAGCGACGCCTTCCCCTCCATCTTGTTGGCCCTGCCGCTGCGCGCCGCCAGCGCCTTCCCCCACCCAAAGTCGCAGCCGTACATGTCGAACCGCGGCGAGCTCCCCATCAGCACGGCGTTCGCGGGGAACAACCGGCCAGGGCGCAGCAACGGATTCGCCGCCGACGCCGCCACATGCGCATGGATGCTTGCGTCCGTGTGCGCCGCCGCCGCCCACCCGTGCCAGCGCGACAGAAGCTCAGACGCGCGCACCGCGTCAGTTGAGACGAGCTTGATGCAGTTGCCGAAGTACTCCGCCGGAACAAGCGGCCGGAGATGCCCACGGTTGTCGGCGGCCGCGAAGCACACCGTCTGCTGGTCCGGCTCCAGGGGCCGCGCGCGGGGTGATGGAGCGCCATATATAGTTCTCCAGACGGGCTTGGCAGGCTGGGCTGGCACTGGCCCGGTCCGAAAAAGCACGGCCCAGGCCCGGTGCGGCACGGACTGCCTCGTGCCCGTGCCTGGCACAGCCCGGCGTCGTGCCCGTGCCTGGGCCTCCACAGCGGCTCGTAGTGCCGGTCCGGGCACGGCACGGTTTTTGGGCTGGCATGATGCGGCCCAATTATTTTAGATAGTTGGATTTCCTCTGGATGAATCACAACCGTTGGATCACAAAATCTAACTATCTTCCCACACCTCTGAGTTTCCCGTCCACACCGCCGCTCCCTCCGACTCCTTCACGCCGCTCCCTCTGACTCCTTCACGCACTCGCTCTCCCTCACGCGCTTCGCTCCGAGCCCGTCGCTCCTGTTTCTCCACTCCCTCCCGTGGCTTCTCCTTCACTGCAGCGGCTTTACGGCAAGGCGTGGAGGCGGCGCAGCTCGCCTGACGCAGCGGCAAGCGCGTAGCGGCGGGATCTGCAGCGGCGGCGAGCTCGGGGCAACGACAATGGCAACGGCGCCGCGCTGAGCGGAGGCCGCATGGGGCTCGCGGTGGTGCGGCATGACGCGGCGACGGCACGGGGCGTACAGTGGCGTGGCGCGCCGAGCCAGGGCCGGCACGGGCACTAGGGGCCGCCGTGCCCAGCGGCACGGCACGGCACGGTTCAACGGGCGTAGTGCCGTGCCTAGGCCGCGACCTTGGCACGGCAACACGATACGGCACGGCACGGCAGCGCCACCGTGCCTCGCCGTGCCGTGCCTCGGCGTGCCAGCGGCGTGCCGTGCCTGGGCGGCCCGTTTGGACAACTATAGCGCCATACAAGGGAGGTCAACGCCTGGAATCTGGTCAAGGCAGCAGCGCCGGCCGGGTCCCCGGCAGCTAGGAGCTCCTGCCTCGCTCGCTCGTTGAGCACCGCCAGGGACTCCTCCGGGAAGTGCAGCATCCGCTCGCGCATCGGCGTCGGCGTTGGCGTCGGCCTCTTGCCGAGCACCGACAGGTCGGCGTACGGGAGCACGGTCGGCGACGCTGCACTGCCGTCGGGCGACCAGCGTTCGAACAAGGGCGGCGGCCGAGACGCCGGCTCCGCGGGTGGGGCTTCCGCGGGCGCGAACCTAGCGCGCGCGATCTCCGCCCACCCGTTGAGGAAGTTCCAGAAACCAGTGCCGTCGCAGAGCGAGTGGTTGCACGCGAACCCGAGAAAGACGCCGTCGACGAGCTCCGTGACCTGGACGACGAAGAGCGGGAGCTCGTGGTCGTCGTAGTTGATGGCGCCGTTGAGCGGGAACAGAGACTGCACGACGAATGGGATGTCGGCGTCAGGAGGTATGACGTATTGACGTCAGCTACGCCGACGCCGTCGGCGACGGCGTGGTGGATCTCGACGCCCTGGCCACCGCAGTCGATGGACACCGTGCTGCCGACGACGTCTCCGTGGTCATCTCGGTGCTGCTCCGTGACGAAGCGCCCGGCCACGGGGTAGTAGGTGGCAAGCGCGTCGGCGAGGGTGGCCTGGAGGTGGTCGACGAGCTCGGCCGTCGGGAACGGTGCCCGCGCGAAGAGGAGACCCTTCTGGATGTAGTTGCCCAACAGCATGGCGACATCCCACGACGTGAGCGGGATGCACTCGCGTGGCCGTGGCGGTGGCTTCACGATGTGCCTCGACACCACGCAGACCGGCGACGACGACGTCATTCTCGCGCTCTTCTCTGTCTTTGGTCTCTACTTCTCTACCTCTTTTTCTGTCTCTCTCTTCGCTTCTTCGTTCTTCTTCCAATTCCAACAGGGAAAAAGCTGTCGAACTACTTGCCACTCGAGCACTCTGATGCTGTGTACGTCAGGTCAGATTTGCTCCAATCAGTTGTTCTCTTCTGCATTTTTTTTTTGTCTTTTATTTGCTAATATAGTGGCATTTCTTTTTTGTCCTTGAGGATTGCACCGAGCACGAGCACCGCCATGTTTTTGTTTATGTCGCCACTGAATCTTTCATTTGGGTCATCTTAGGAGGTCTAATGGTTTGATTCTTCTAGTCTAGCTATCCAATGAGGGTATTTTAAGTTCTATATAAAAGGGATTACAAATCTACAATAGCTAAAACCTGAAATTGGGACAGATGAGGTTGATTTTTAGGAGAATTGTCTCAAATTCAGTGACCAGTCTTTGGTTTGATCTTGTTGCGACAGTTGAAACTATTTTCGTAACTGGTGAGTGATGAGTGTGATGCCACTGCTTAGATTTTTAGTTCAAATGGTACTTATTCTTTCCAATCTTTGTGTATTGTAATCAGTTTTAAGGGATTGATCCGAGTTTATTACATCCCAAAATTTTGGTAGATAAAGATTGCCACCTAGAATTCATAATTTTTGTAGTTATTAAGCAATAGTAGATTACTGAATAGGTACTTGATTAAGAGGTGTGATTCAGCTATCCTCTAGAGTCTATATATGAATGTGAAGATGTGAATATAGTGTTCATCATGGAGGTATGCTAAGAAGATGGAATCTATGCACAAAGGAAGATTTGCCAAACCCAAACATAGGACACTACGCGGATGCGGATGCAGGTGTGACTTTTTTCGGATGTAAGAAATAGTAGAGAGATGGAGAGAGTCAGATTGGAGATGGATTTAAATAGTCAAGTAATATATGCATACATACAAAATTATGCTTGTCAAGAATTAATTTAGTAAAGAGGCAATAACAACTAGTACACAAAAATATTGCATTGGGGTCCATTTTGTCGCTCTCAGATCACGCCAATTCAAAATTTAACAACTAAAACAACCGCATCAAAAAACAAATCAAGTAACAAACTTTTCTTTTATTATGAATTCTTTTGGTTTTTGGTCTAGGGAGAGAAACCATTGGATATCCTATTTTAAATATCAAATAATCTCCATATATAAAATTTACGGATAATCTATATCTGCCGAATTTTTGCCGATTCCATGGATATCATGCTTCGCATCCTCACACAATCCTATTCATATTTTCCATATCCACATGGATATTAAAAACTCTTCTCAATATTCTCAAGATTCAGATTCGAATCGGGTCGAAGTAGAGAATTACCTGCACCACTTTATGGCAAAATATACCTTTCCTCTTTATTGAAATCTCATCAAGGTACAAATCGATTGAAATAAACACGTTAAAAATAATGTGCTACAGCAACGCCTACTTCTCCTGATTTGAAATTTATGTCTATTTGAAAATTGGCTGTCTTTCATACGATGATTTAACTAATAATATACGTACACATAAGAATATATCAGCTTAGTAATTGCCAAGAGTTACATATTATACTGCAAATATATTTCCCATGTCCCATAATAATAAATCCACTATACTAACCTTACCTTATCAATCTATAGTAACATTTAGATATTGATAGTCAACAATAAAAAGGCATGACGAAGTAACAACCAAGAAATGTTGTGGGTATACCATTTTTCCACTCCTAATCCTGCAGCATTCTAGAGCTCATCAATGTCACGACCGGTGGGTGGTGCCAGGCCTGGATTTGCAGCGGCCAAGCTCTCCAGCCAGACCTCGTCGCGAACGGTGGCGAACGCGTCGTCGTTGCGGTGCCACGTCCACACGGCGCTCGTCTCGTTGACGATCCTCAGCCGGCCGTGCCCGAAGCTCGCCTCCCGAAACTCCGACAGGTGTGCCGACTTGTGGTCCTTGATGAACCTTCAGACCAACATCGACAATCACACACATGAACTGAGTCAGCATCATCAGATTCTAATTGACTCTATGCATATACGGTGCTAGCCAGTGACATGCATACTTGAGAGCAAGGCCTTCCCTGTTGCCCCCGTCGCCAATGGTGATGTACATCGGGCCCCGGCTGTCGGCCTCGTTGTCGTAGATCCTCTTCTGATCACCAGGAGGTCGCCGCAGATCAGCGTGCCGGTGAAGCTGCTGCGCCCGGGCGCGGCGGCCTCGTTCATGTACCTGAGGCACGGCGCGTTGGCGGCGAGCGCGAAGGCGGCCCTGGCGACGCCGAGCAGGCTTTTGGCGGGGCCGGCGGCCGCGACCGCGACGAGGTAGTAGAGGAAGCAGGTCAGCGCGGCCACCAGCCCACCACGCGGGTTATCTTGCACATCAGCACATGAGCAGTAGCGTGCGGAGGAGGAATTTTGTGCGCAGCTGATTACGCGTGTCGCCGCGAGGAGGATGGGAGGTGATGAACGTCAGCTGCTCCGAGGTCGCGGTCACCATTGCCACCGCCCAGTCTGGCGTGGAGCGGCGGAGGACGAGCCCACCTGCTGGTACGTGCGCGGCAGAAGAACCTGGTTGCACATCATTAGCTTAAAAGGATCGATTAAGGTTGAAGACGACGACTTTTAATGTGTTGCTGCGACTGCAAATGGACCGAGGAGAGCATATTCTGCGAGATGCGCGCTGAGAATTCGTGCAAGATTTGGGTCTTTTCGTGCTGCGATTGGATAGATGTGCGTGCGTACCTGACATGTGCCGCCGCGGTGGACGGCGGCCGCCGGGGTTGCCGGAGGGGACGAGGAATCCGTTTGGTGTGGCGGCGGTGGAGGGGGAGGAGAAGAAGGAAGCGGATAGGCAGGCTGAGGCCAGCATCGCTGGAGTGTACGACTGTTTTCAGCGTCGTTGGCGTGGTGGATTGCCCCTTTTGAGCCTCTATCTACGTGGCAGACTGACAGCAAATCGTCTGGTAGGTACTACTAGCTGATGGTAACACGTGAGCCGTGATGGCACTACTGACAGCGTTACAACAGAGTCCGATAGGATCCGGATATAATTGCGTAGATGCCATGCCATTTGGGACGTGGAGACAATATTTGGAAAACAGCATTGACCTATCGGTAGGATTGTTACGCATAAAGGAAAACCATTTATCCCGTTAGATTCAAATGTTACACGAAGGAAAAATAGCGTACACACATATGGTTTTGCGTTGGCGCCTTCGTTGTGAATAGCAAATGTAATGAAAAAATAAAAAGAAAAGAAAAATTCTACACCTAATCACCCCGCCTACCTCCTCCTGGTCCACACACAAATATATTGTGTTCCCCTTCTTATTCAACGCTACACCATCCACCACCGCATGACTCTATCCCCATCCGTTGTAACCTCTAGCTACTGTGCCCCTCCTTTCCATCGCCACCCCCATCCATCATACGACCAACCGTCCACGCCCACCACCACCTCCGCCACTGTGTCCCCCTACCCGTCTGCCGCTACCCCCGGCCACTGCATCTCCTCAAGCCACCCTCCTTCCCATTCGCCAACCCTTCTCCTCCTCTTTGCAAGAGATATCGCCATGACGATCGGGCTACAAGAGTGGCAGGAGACCCGAGAGAGAAGAGCACCTACGTCGTTGTCATTGTTGTTGTTGTTGTTGTTGTTGTTGTTGTTGTTGTTGTTGTTGTTGTTGTTGTTGAGGGGAGTCATGACCACTTCCCCCTTCTCCGGTACTAGATTTGCCATCGCCGGCATGGGGCGACACGTAGCTCACCGGTCTCACCGTGGTGTGAGGAGGCAGTGAGTGCGGTGCATGGAGGTAGACGTCCGATGACCATTTGTGCGGAGAAGGTCTCGCCAACCGAGGCCGATGTGCAAAGAACTCCCCGATCTAGATTTGACCGAGCTCTCAATGGGGCAAGGCCAAGGTTTCCTCCTCTTCACTTTGCTTTGCATTTGGTTCATTTGTTATGTTGCACTTGGTAATTTTGTTTTACAATTTTTGCACTTCATCTCTCATAAGAGAGATTTCGCCAAGACAAGAGAGATGTCGATGTCAAGACAAGGTCGATACCAACGACGAGCATAAGGAATCGCCTATGAGGAAAATTTTATCACTACTCTAACATAGTTACACCAAGTCAGATAATTCAAGGCGTCAAAGAAGCCTCAACAATGAGTCAACCCAAGAGATTACTCAAAAAGTCCATTATTGACCAAGCTACCTTTACATGCATCGTAGTGACGCCAACAATTATATCTTCTTCTTCTCTATCGTTGATCTTGGGAGTAAATTCAATGGTATGTTTAGACTTAACATCGCTTGTTTGGACAACAATCCTTAGGATATCCTTTCACACAGATGCATATGATGGACCGTATAAGCTTGATAACTCCAATAACATCACCAGTCAAGCCACCAACCACTTGACTATCATAAAAGCACAAGGCTATTTAGGATGCTGGTGGTCTGGGCAGTGATTTTTCCGTTAAAGTCTCCTTGTAGAACATCAATTGTAATAGTACACTCCACTGCATCTTTCACAACTCCATACAGCACATCCACAGTACTAAGCCTGGTAGCAAGAGAGTCACTTTCAAGCACACATTGCTTCAACCGTCGACGCTCTATGCCATTGATAGATAACTTTCCTTTACTGAGTTCTTTGTCCTGCCCTTGATGATCCTTAATCTTCAAATCAATCTCAACATAGTTTGGACCTATCAATGCGAGTCCTCGTTTTGGACCTGTCAAGATCAAAGATTCATCCTACGAAAAAGTTTACATTATATGTTAGTGTTATGTTATATTTCTCTGAATACAATGTCGTAATCAAAATAGAATGATTACAGTCAACCAGCATATGTAAACTACTACCATAGATGAAACAGTTAATGATCAGTTTGCATGTGGTATCACGATGCTGTAGGTTCATATGGTTGTACCATTAAGCATGATGTCGATATAATAAAATGTGATAAATAATTTCCCTAATATAAGAAACAAATATTATGCCAAAGGGTTCAAATATAGTTTCATTAATATATTATACATACTTATGTTCACATAAATTGTTGTAAAAAATGTTTAACTTTAGGTTTATTCTGTTCCATACAATATCCACACCACACCATAGAAATAGCAATGTACTTCTATTGAACAACAATTGGATCAGTGTGTAACATTTAGCGGAATCCCATAAGACAAAGGATATTGCATCACCTAGTTCTCTGTACCAGTTGCTCATGGACCTTGGGATGCTAATTGTGACTACCAAAAAGACTTAAAACTAACATATCACAAGTTTACCCTTCATACTGAACATTTGCAATTTAGTAACATTTGGAAACTATACAGATTGTCTAATATTCTAGGGATTATTGATCAGTAGCGTATAAATTTCCAACTTTCAGCACCAAAAATAAATTCAGAACAAGAAACGAGGATGAATATCACATAGGTAATTGACCAACTAACCACTAGCGATTACTTTGTTGATCAATAGAAATCAATTGCAGGCCAGTGTAATTTTGCAATCCTTGTCTAACTCACACCTAATAAATACAAGCAGTTCTTCATTTAGAGGAACAGTGTTTCCAATCAGCCCAATGTACATACCTAAGAGTTGATGAGTTGGCATTGATCTCTCTCACGGCTGAAGAGATAAACACACCTCTTGTCCAGACTGTCTCTGGCAATGACAATTGCCATACACATTGATGGGGAAGCCAACATCCAAGTGGTTATTCTCACAGAGAAGAAGTTTATTCCCTCACATAGCTCATAGTCGTCCTTATTTTTGTAGACAGCATCAGTAAATCTCATCGGACCAAGGGCACTGTGGTGTGAAAAGTAAGATAAAAGAATCAAGATAGGCTCTATACAAATAAGACTCAAAAGCTAACAGGTCAAGATAGTATAAATGTTGAAGTACACATGCACTTGCCAATCGAAGACAAAAACTCAGACAGTGATGACCTCCGCTCGAATAGACCAACAAAACATATTTGAAAGCACAAATTAACATAGAATGGAGTATAATACTCTGATCATGTAAAATTTTGTAATTGTTCATGGACGGCAATGCCGTAGGTATGACTAAAGGTCAGGGCAGGGTAGGGCAGAGCAGGGGAATTGATCTGATCAGAATTGAACACGGAGGAGAGTCTGTTACCAGAATCCTTTAGTCATATAAGATTCAAACTAATAGTTCAAGATAGTATAAATGGTGAAGCACAATTGCAATTTCGAATTCAAGAGACAGAAATTCGGACAGTGACGACCTCTACTCGAATAGACAAACAAAAAATATTTGAAAGCACAAATTAACATAGAAATACTCTGATCATGTAAGCAATGAAGTAGATATGACTAAAGGTCAGGGCAAGGTAGGGCAGAGCATAGGAATTGATCTAATTAGAATTGAACCGACGGGGATGGACTTACACTCCTCGTCGAGATCGAATTTTGTGAGGTCGGCGAAGGTAAATCTGGTGTAGTACTCGCCCCCTTGCTTGGGATCGAAGTCGAGGACGGTATCTTCCAGTATCCGCTGCCGATCATTTTGTTTCTTCTTCCGTGCCATCTGCCGCAGAAATTGCATCCGCTCCTCCTCCTAGGCCAATCGCTTTGCCTCGTTGACGTCGATGAAAGGTTCAGCCTGAGAGCTTCTTACCACAATCCTTCACCACGGAGGAGATTCCGTCAGAATCTGATCCCACGGAGGCATGCAGGACGGGCCGCGGGGTGAAGTCGCGGTGCCCACAAGGCATGGATACGCTATCATCCGCCATGAACACAACAAAGCCGCCGCCGACCAAGGAAAGGGGAAAGAAGTGAAAGAACTAGGGTTTTGAGTTCCGCTCACACGAGGATGACGAGGATGAGATCTTTGAGTATCTTGTGCATCATTGGACCAGGGCCTTCATAATGGTTTGGGCCTATGCAGGTTGCACGTAGCTAAGGCACCCAATCTTATCTATTGTGTTTCATTGCCTTTTTTGGTATATTGCATATTCTATAACTTATGTGACAAGATTCACTATATCTGTTTGGCATATTTGAGAGCAAGAAATGTTGTTTGGAATGGAGAAAGTTGGTTCCTTAGCTTAGTCCCTACATGTTGAAGGCCCCCTATTTGTAGTGTTAAATGACCTCTATGATGTACCATGTGGCACATTACACATTCTTCTTGACTTCTTCTTAGCTTAGTCCCTACATGGTGAAGGGCACCCTTATTTGTAGTATTAAATGCCCTCTAGGATTGTATCATCATGTGGCACATCAAATACTCTTATCTGCACTCTATAATTTTCTTCATCCTTACTAGATATTTTTGTGATGCCAAAAATATTAGTTCTAGAATATTTCATACTCTAGCACGATTAGTATCCTTTTTGTTTTGTTTGGCACATTCCATACTCTATAACTTATGTGACAAGATGTATCTATTTGGTATATTTGGGAAGAAATGTTGTTTGGCATGGAGAAAGTTAGTTCTTTAGCTTAGTCTCTACATGGTGAAGGGCACCCCTATTTGTAGTATTAAATGACCTCTAGGATGTACCATGTGGCACATTACACACTCTTCTTGACTTCTTCTTAACTTATTCCTTACATGGTGAAGGGCACCCCTATTTGTAGTGTTAAATGAGCTGTAGGATTGTACCATGTGGCACATTACACACCATTCTTACAAAATATCTATACTCTATAATTTTCCTCATCCTTAATAGATATTTTTGCGATACCAAAAATATCTAGTTCTAGAATATGGATTGATTATCCAGGAGATAAAATATATTGCATCTAGGACTTTTTATCTTATTAGTCCATGTCAATAGGTGGTGTAACTAGGCGGGCCACGTAATTGCTAAAGTAGCTAATCAATGTAATGGTCATATTTGGCTTGATGCACTACTACAAATTGATTTATCACTATCGCCACTTTCACTGCCGTAGCAATAGGAGCGGCTGTGTTTTACTTCCACCGCCGGTTTGACCGATAGTGAGGCCTCCTGATGAAGGAAACCGGCAGTTGAGATTTCTACCACCGATGGTTTAACAGTAGATGCGGTAGTGGTATTTTCTTCGTCGCATGAAAAGCCAAGCCGACTAGATAGGTGTTCTAGCCATCGGCCCTACACGACCGTTTAGTCTATCGGCGGTACTAAATTCAGCGTGAGTTATTTCCCCATTTCCCAACTATCCACAACACAGTTGTATCACCAATCCACTTCTCCATCTTCAAGGTTGGCGCATTGTTCCTCTCTCTATTGCACGCCTCGCGCCGTGCCGCCGCCACCTCCCGCACGGCCGGCACATTGTTCCTCGCAATTTGTGTGAACCATTGCACGCCTCGCGTCGCGCCGCCGCCAGATCCAAAGGCAAGGGTAATGCTTTCGCACTGCACTAATGGATCTTTGTCGGATTATTTTTCTCTTTAATGATCTCATTACTAAGGAAACTCTCATATCCTACTGCACAATAACGATCGTAGGCTCTTCGAAATGGAGGCGGCCGCCAACAACAAGAACGCACTGGCTAGCCTCACAGAGGATGTTGTTCTGGAGATCCTCTGCCTCCTCCCTGCCCGCTCCTTGTTGTGCTGCAAATGTGTCTGTCGCTTCTGGAATCACCTCATCTCCAACAACCGTAAGGTGCTGCCCCAGACTGTGGCCGGCTTCTTCTACGACGGCGAGAAAGGCAAGCGAAACTTCACCAGCATCACCGGTGAACGCCCTAACTTGTCCTTCTTGCCCTTCCCCATTGACAAAGTAGCTATCTTAGATTGATGCAATGGTCTTATCCTATGCTTGTGTGTTGAGGCTGCTGGATTCTGCTATGTCGTCTGCAATCCGGTAACCAAGAATTTGCGGGTACTGACACCAAGCATCCATACTGTTGGTCAAGCTCGATTGGGGTTCGATCCAACAGCCTCCTCGCACTTCCATGTGATTGGATTTATGAAGGAGGAGGACGTTGAGTGCCTAGGTGTGGATATCTACTCATCTCAAACTACAGCATGGATCTGAATGGGGCCAGGACATTGATGATGTGATATGTTCAAGATCAGCAAGTGTGTTTCTTAACAGTTGTCTGCACATTATGGGGGTACTCTCTGATACTTGTTATGGATATGGAGGGAAAGACATGAAGGAAAATTTCTAGGCCTCGGGGTACTCTACCCTCCATCCAACATGCTAAGGGTCACTTGTGTGTATGTACTGTTGGTGGTGTTAGTGGTCACAATATGTCCCAACTTTCAGTCTGGATCCTTGAAGACTATGCTACTAATAAATGGACACTGAAGCATACTGTCAGCACACTGAAGGTGTTTGGAAAGACTAATATTAATTTTGGTTACGTGGATTATGATTCAGCCTACACAGCGATTACAGTTCACCCAGAATGGAATTTAATTTTCTTTGTTGGGGTGAAAAGAATAATCATCGCTTATGACATGGACTGAAGAAAAGTTCATGTCATCCCTGCTAGTGTCGATCGTAGCTATGGTAGACGTAAAGTTCTGGCACAGTTCATGAGCAAACCTTACTTTCTTCCTTATGTTCCGTTGTTCTTTTTCTTAGAGTCATTAGCGAAGTAGTGAATAAAGCCCCATTTGATGTGTCACTGTGTCACGACATGTTCAAATGGACCAATGTTGTTTGATTGTCTATGGCCATGTTAATTTCATCTAGGATGGATGTTGTCATTATTGCAGCTAAACTAGTGTGCCATCTTAATTTGTTGTGTTTCCAAATTGGTTTATTTCTCTGGCATGAACAATATGTTATGTTGGTGTTACAGCCTCCATCACCGTTTTCGGGAGAAGCGTGCTCCACTAAGATCGTGGGAGACGTGGCCTTGCCTTAACTCCTGCTCTCTCGCCGATGCAATCGTAGGGAAATCCAACGAACGCATAACTCGCCTATATATCCTTCAATAAAAGGGTTATGATATCCTGACCCAAAAGGTGCCTCATGATCATTGTTGGGCGTGGCGCATGAGTCCAAACACCGCAAAAACTCATGGATGTGAAAGTCAACGAGGCCACCACAGGCGATTGAAAGCTCTAGTTTGGTTTTGGTAAATTGATGAAACCCTAAGTGCTAACCTAGTTCATCAAGTGATCATGAGATAGGTAGCACACTTCAAGTAGAGAAGCAAATGAAGATCATAACATGACAATGGTGATAGCATGGAGATGATCAAGGGCTTAAACTTGAAGAAGAAAGAGAAAACAAAAAGCTCAAGGCAAAGGTATAACTTGTAGGAGCTATTTTATTTTGGTGATCAAGACACTTAGAGAGTGTGATCACATTTAGGTTTGATAGCCGTACTATTAAGAGGGGTGAAACTCAGATCGAATCGCGGTTATCAAAGTGCCACTAGATGCTCTAACTCATTGCATATGCATTTAGGATCTAGTGGAGTGCTAACACCCTTGAAAATATTTGTGAAAATATGCTACCACATATGCTACCACATTTAGGATTCGGCGCTTTCGGGAAAATGAAATGTCTATTTTCTATTGCGTCGGATGCAAAATTCTTGGTGGTTGGCACACTTGAGGAAGGGTGAAGAAGTAAGAGTTGAAATGAAGTTGATCGAAATGATGCTGGCGTCGGTCTACTGACCGGACGTTGGGTCACTCAGCGACCGGACGCTGAAAGGCTACGTCCGGTCGAGCTGTCAGATGGCATAGTGGCTAAGGTTGAGCACCGGACGCTGGTCTGTGTCCGGTCAAGGTGGACCGGACGCGTCCGGTCGAAAAAACATGCCTCGGGGAGCTTACTGGAAATGACCGGACGCTGGGTCTTCAGCGTCCGGCCGGGCTTTTATCGGAAGCGTCCGGTCAGCTTCGCAACCGCTGAAATCGATTTAACAGCGTTTGAAGCTGGTGACGCGTGGCGTCCATCGGGCGACCGGACGCTGAGGGCCAGCGTCCGGTCAGTATGACCGGAGCGTCCGGTCAGAGCGCGTTTTGCCCAGTGAAGGGGTATAACGGCTCTATTTGATTGGGGCTCTATTTATAGCCCCATGGCCGGCTCAAGGGAACTCTCTTGCACATTTTCATTGACGTAGCAACCTTGTGAGCTTAGCCAAAGCCCTCCCACTCATCTACATCATTGATTCATCATCATAGTGAGATTGGGAGTGAATTCAAGTGCATTGCTTGAGTGATTGCATCTAGAGGCACTTGGTGATTGTGTTTCATCACAGATTTCGCTTGTTACTTGGTGGTGGTTGCCGCCACCTAGACGGCTTGGAGCAAAGAAGGATCGTTGAGTGGAGGAGGTGATTGTCTCCGACTCCGATCGTGGTGATTGTGAGGGTTCTTGACCTTTCAAGGCGGAGCGCCAAAAGGTACTCTAGTAAATTGCTTGTGGCTTGTGTGATCCTCATCTTGTGTTGGTTGTGCGGCACCCTATTGAGGGTTTGGCGAGTGATGCCAATCAGCGCGTGAACCTCCAAGTGAGTGAATCGCCACAACGAGGACTAGCTTGTCGGCAAGCAAGTGAACCTCGGTAAAAATCATTGTGTTCATCATTGATTCCGAGGTGATTGGTCATCATTGTTATT